AGGAACAGAGAGAGAGAGAGAAACATCGATGTGAAAGGAACACATCGAGTGGCTGCCACCCGCACGACCGACCAGGGCCGGGGACAAACTGCAACCGAGGTACGCGCCCTTAGCGGGAACCGAACCCGGGTCTCTCCGGACCACAGGCCGACGCTCTAACCGCTGAGCCAAACCGGCCAGGGCCAGTGATTGCTTTTAACAATGATTTGGTTTTAACTCTTATTGGACCTCTGACCTACAGAGCTATAAGATAATACTGTCATGTTACATTAAGCCACAATTTTGTGGTAGCTTATTATAGCAGCACATAGAGAAAACTATAACATTTTAGTTCGTTTTAGGCTCTGAAACGAGGATTCATACAGAAGTGTTTTATTAGGAAGTGTTCCCAGAAAAATTGTTTAGAAGAGTAGGAAAGTAAGACCAGAAGGAAAGGAGGCCATATAGGTGAACTACATAGCAAGCTAAGTCCTCAGGAGGACGTTGGCTCAATTCCACAGGGGAGCTCCTGAGACACTGCAAGTGTTTTCTGAGAATAGTGTAGCTCAGAGAGCTATCTATCAAAAGAGCAGACCAGAAAGTGAAAGTTAGTTTCAAAATAAGTTGTCAAGTATTTTACTTAAATTGATTGAATATCATGATGAGACTCCACAACCATACTTCTTTAATTCTTCTTTCCCTGCATACAACTTCTAACTCTTCCTGGCTTCAACAACCCCAGGAAGTAAGGTGGAAGGACCCCTTGTTGATTATTGGCTCATGCTTCTTGTCCTCTCCTCTTCTTCCTCCAGCATCAGGAAAGCATACCAGATCAGGAACTACCTGATCAGGAGAAGGTAAGAAGCAGAGCATGTAAACTCAGCATCACAGTTAGCAAGAAAGAACTATGAGAAAAAACCAGGACAGTCATCATTTATCATTTCTGGATATATTAATTTGTTTCCGTGGATTTGAGTTACTATAAGTCATTTCCTTAGCCCAACTGAGCTGTTCCCACCCACCTTCTAGGTACTGTTAATGCAAATACATTACATTTCTATATGTCATAGGCTCAACAATTCATTATAGACATATTGTTTCGCTTATACAATTAAATTTTAAATCAGTTAAGAGAAGAAGAAATACGCATTTGTACTTTCATAATTACATAATTATCTCTATATGTTTTCTTTGTTTTGGGGTGTGTGTGTGTGTGTTTGAAAAAAAATGAGATCATTTTCTATTTGCCTGAAAAACTTCCTTTAGTACTTTTTGATGATATGTCTGTGAATAGCACCTTTTTCACTTTTAGTTTACCTTTTAATGTCTGTTCTTCTACTTTCATTTTTTAAAGATAGCTTTGCTGCATATAGAATTCTTGGTTGATAGGTTTTGTTGTTTTTTGAGCACATTGGATACGTTATTTCACTGCCTTCAAGCCGCCATTGTTTCTGATGAGAATTGGGCTGTTAATCTTTTTGGGCTCCCCTGTAAATAATGAGTCATTTTTCTCTTGCTGCTTTTAGTATTTTTTCCTTGCCTTTGGCTTACAATATTTTTGCTGATTTGTCTGTGGATGTCTCTGCATCAATCCTATGAAGTTTGGTGGGTTTTGTAGATATACAATGTCTTTCAATAAATGTGGCAAGTTTTCAACTATTATTTCTTCAAGTACTTTTTTTAGATCTTTTCTCTCATCTCCTTCTGGTGTTCACATTCACATTATGTGTATGTTGATGTACTTAGTAGTGTCTCTCATCCTCTGAGTGTCTATTTTTCTTTATTTTTTTTTCTCTCTGTTCTTCAGATGGCCTAATCTCTATCAACTTACTTTCAAATATGCCGGTTACTTCTCCTGCTTGTTCAAATCCATTGTGGAGCCCCTACAATAAATTTTTTTCATTTTATTTATTGAAATTTTCAGCCCCCAAAATTCCTTTTGGTTGTTCATAATTTCTGTCTCCTTATTGATCATTTCTATTTATTGTAACATTGTCACTATACTTTCTTTTATTTCTTTATTTAACTTTTTTTAAAAAATGAGTTTACTGGGGTGGCATTGGTTAATCAAATTATATAGGTTTCAGGTGCAGAATTCTACAACACATCATCTGTATATTATATTGTGGGTTCACCCCAAGTGAAGTCTCCTTCCATCACCATTTATCCCTCTTTACCCTCTTCTACCTCCTCCCACCCTTCCTGGCAATCACCATTTTGTTGTCTGTGTTCATTTTTCTTTACTTTCACCCTTCTCACTCAGTCCCCAACCTCTTCCCCTCCAACAGCTGTCAGTCTGTTCTCTGTATCCATGAGTTTGTCTCCACTTTGTTAGTTTATTTATTTATTTTTTGTTAGATTCCACATAAGTAAAATTATTTGGTACTTGTCTTTCTCTGATTGGCTTATTTTGCTTAGCATAATATGCTCCAGGCCTTTCCATGCTGTCTCAAAAGGTACAATTTTCTTCTTTTTTTTATGCTGAGTAGTATTTCATTGTATAACACAGATTTTTTAATCCAGTTATCTACTGATGGACACTTGGGCTGCTTCCAAGTCTTGGCTATTGTAAATAACACTGCAATGAACATAGGGGTGCATATGTTCTTTTGAATCAGTGTTTCAGGTTTCTTAAGATATATTCCCAGAAGTAGATTTACTGGGCTATAAGGTAACTCCATTTTAAGTTTTTGAGGTAACTCCATACTGCTTTCCACAGTGGCTGCACCAGTCTGCATTCCCACCAACAGTGCATGAGGGTTCTCTTTTTTCTGCATCCTTACCAACACTTGTTTGTTGAATTATTGATAATAGCCATTCTGACAGGTATGAAGTGATATCTCATTGTGGTTTTAATTTGCATTTCCTTTGGTTTCTTAAAAGAGATACACACACACACACACACACGCACACACACACAGAGAGAGGCTAATTTGGCTACTTTGATGTCTTTGTTAAATCAGACATCTAGTCATTCATATAGTCTGCTTCTTTCCAATGTATGGATCACATATGTTCCTGTTTCTTTGGACATCTCACACCTTTTTGTTGGAAACGACATTATAAATAATACATTACAGCAACTCTGGTACTGATCCCTCCTCCAGGACTTGATATTGTTATTGATTTGTATTTGTTCAATGACTAACTGGACTGTTTTAGTGAATGTATATCACCCACCTACCACTTTGGAAGCTTCTGATGTGGATGGCCCACAGTCACCATGGGATGACAATAGTTTAGCAGGACTCGCTTTGACTGTTTCTTTCTCTGCCCACGCCTAGCTGTCAAACTACAATAACGCCAGTTAATTGCTTTTTGTTTTCAACAACATACTGGGGCACAAATTGTTCAGCCAACACATTCAGTTAAATGTGGTTTCCTTTGAAGGGATAGCTCCCAAGATCAATGTTTTAGATTTGTTCTGGCCTACGAAGTGCTCCTCCCAGCTGTCTCTTTCCCTGGTTTTCTCTGTGGAAAACTCACTAGCCAACACTTACCTGTATCACCAATGAACCTACACTCTCCTACCAATTGTTTATCACCATGACACCCAGTTTTTGAGAACACACTTAGGCTTAAATTTTCTACACTCTGTTGCAAATGAAGTTAGTTCTTTTGGGGAGAGATTCAGAGCTCTCTAACACATAGCCTGATTCTCCCTCTAGGCAAAATATTTAGTCATGGCTCTGGATTGAGATGTGGAGACATTAATAAGTCTTTCTCTAAAAACATACTGCTTTAGGGTCTGAGTGGAAAGGGCAGACAGAAGCGTCAGGTGTTCTCAGCTTGCCTTTCTCAGTGTGGAGCTTTGACCTTACAAGCAAGGGAAAGGACAGGCTTCAGTATTCTCAGTGGTAGAGTCTCTGTCCCATGAGTGTGGGCTGAGGGGAAGAAAGGAACCCCACTTGTCAGTCATACCTGTCCAGAACTTATGAGATGGTAGAGGGACTTGGGCCCAGAAAAGGAAAATACCAGGTGGCCAGGAAGTCAAGTTAAAACCCGATGGCCAGAAAGCACGATGGATAAACTGAGTGCAAAAAAATGTCTCTGCCCCTCACTCCCTACTCAAAAAGTCAGAGGTAGCAGATTTTATCTCCCTTCTAACTGCCTTCTCCCTTGCAGATGTTGAAAATGCTGACCCGCGAGCACCTTCCTGGGTGGTGGTAGTGAGCTACACTGCCATCTTGTCCCCGAAGCTCAGCCTGAAAACTGTCACTAGGCAACACAGCAGGAAAAGGAAGTCACCTGACCTAGAAATGGAAAATTCTGAAAGCTTTCTTTTATCAACAAGCCTGCCTTTCCACTCAAGCCTGCTTTGTCCCCAACATACCAAAGCAGCCAAGCAGAGCCAGTCTCTGATTCAGTGAGGAGGGCCTTCCTTGTGCTCAAGCATCAGCTTAATAAAATCTGTTTGGAAACTTCTCTGGGGTTTCCTCTTCGTTTCCTTTCTTTTAAAGCCTTGAACATAGTGTGTGTGTGTGTGTGTGTGTGTGTGTGTGTGTGTGTGTTAGACTATACATAACAAATTTACATTTTCAGTGAACAATTCAGTGGTATTGTATGTACTGGCATCACTGTGTACCCATCACCACCATGCGTCTGCAGACTGGTTCATCATCTCAAACTGAAATTTTGTGTCTGTTATGTAACACTTCCCACTCCTCCCTCCCCCACTCCCAACACCCTATAAATGCTCTTCTACTTTCCATGTATTTGACTACTCTGGGTACCTCACAGAAGTGGGAGCATGTAGTATTTTTCCTTTTCTGTCGGGTTATTTCACTTAGCCATTTACTTATAAGCCACCTATGGCTTGTTTCACTGAGCCAAGATCCATCCTTACATATATCAAAATTTCAATGCTCTTTTTTTTTTTTTTTTTTTTTGATTCATTCAAATATTTATTGAGCAGCTAGGGAGGTACAAAGGTGTTTAAAACATGGTAAAGAGTTGAGATAAATGAACACGTAGAAAGAAAAGTTCACTGAATCACAGCAGTCAAGACAGCAGTTTAGGAGATTAAGAGTGAGTGGTCAATCAGGAAAGGGGATTGAGATTAAAATAGAAGACTTCAGTCTGGATTGTTGATGATACTCAGTATGGACTATATTTGTCTCTCCTTTTCCTCTTTCCCCATGTTTGGGCTTAATTTACCAGTAGTGCCCAGGGTTGTTCAATGCGCCTTTTCTATACTTGCTTGCATTTTTGCTTTAATGTCTTCTACAGAACTAGGTCCCTTCGGTGTTTTAGGAGATTTTTCCTGTTTTTTTGAAGAACTCTTGACCTTTTGATCTTGGTGTTGATGGTTTTGAGTCTTTTCCATTCTGGTTTGATTTTTGTGCATTTTTGCCTGGAGTATCTCATAGATTTCTTTACTGGAGCTTTTTCTTCCGCTTCCTCATCGTCAAAATCATCATCATCATCATCATCATCATCCTCATCTTCATCAGCAAGTTTTACTTTTTTCTGTGGAACCTTGCTCCCACTTCCAGGGGCAGAACGCTTTCCTGACATACTTAGGAGTTTCACATCCTCCTCCTCTTCATCTTCTGACTCTGCATCTTCCTCCACAGCCACTAAGTGCTGTCCACTAATACGCACAGGCCCTGAACCACACTTCAACCGTAAGACCACAGGTGGTGTTATTTCAAAGCCACCAAGGGAAACCGCGGGCTGTACAGACATTTTCAGAGTTGCCAGTGTTACTTTAATTGGACTGCCTTCATAATTCATTGCCTCTGCTTCAACAATGTGCAGTTCATCCTTTGCACCAGCCCCTAAACTGACCGTTCGTAAAGATAATTGGTGCTCATTTTCATCATTATCCACCTTAAAGTGATAATCTTTGTCGGCCTTTAGTTCACAACCGAAAAGATAGTTCTGGGGCCTCAGAGGGCTCATGTCCATGTCCACTGAATCTTCCATGGGGTGGTAGCACGCACTTAGGTGAGAGAAGGCGGACGGAGATAAACGACTTGTGTTCCGCAGCACAGACGCGCAGCACGGAATCGCACCAGGCTCAATGCTCTTTAAGGCTGAACAAGATTCCATTGCATGTGTGCACATATGATATTTTGCATATATGTTAATATACATATAAGAGAAATGGAATGACTGGATTCTAGGATACATAGAATTGTGTGTGTGTGTGTTTTATTAATTAATTTACTTTTGTTATAGATGTTTCTCCTTTTTCCTCCATTGACACCCTCCTCTCTATTCCTCTTCATTTCTATCTTGGGGAATGGAAGAACCCTAACATGGTACCACAGGCCCACCAACAGATAACTGGGAGCAGGGTGAGAAATGCTGTTGTCCCCTCCTAGAAAAATCGTCCCCTGACTTGAAGCTAGGATGTGTGACAGCCCTGTGTTCTTGGGCACACAGGTCTGGCTGGAGTTTCTATCTCACTGAAATGGGAAAGTGAAGCAGGGTGTTGGTCATCATTCAAATACCACTGACTAACTGTTCTTGACAAGTTTTAGTAGTTCTTCTTAAGTAAATATTTCTTTATTTGCTGTATGCCCTTAGATCCACTTACAGAGACTTTAAATAGTTGCTTTAATTTTTTTTTTATTTTTATTAGTTTTGCCCTGACTGGGTGGCTTAGTTGGTTGAAGCATCATCCTGTGCACCAAAAGGTTGCAGGATCCATCCCAGTCAGTCAGGGCACATACAGGAGGCAACTGATTAATGTTTCTCCCTCTCATTGATGTTTCTCTCCCTCTCGCTCCCCTTTCCTCTCTCTCTAACATATCAATACAGACATATCCTTGAGTGAGGATTAAAAATAAATAAATAAATATTTGTATTAGTTTTGCTGGGAAGTAAGTTCATGGAGCTAGTCACACTGTCATACTGGGGAAAAAGTCTCCACATAATCTTATTTCATACTTAAAAATTTTGAAATACTTGGGAAAAAACTTTTGAATTAACTATTATTATTCTTATTTTACAGATAAAAAATTGTTCTCATCTCATATCACAATTCACTGATGAGAGAGGATTTGAATAGTGTCCTTATAAATGCGGACTTCAAAGCTCTTCTTAATATATTACACAGACTACTTTAATAGCAAGGAGGGGATGTAAAAGAGAAGTGATTACTCTAGAAAAACATGGAAATAACTTAATATTTTGAAGTACAGGTATCTTAGAGAACAATTGCCCTGTGTTATTTTATATTCTGGCACTAGGGATTACTTAGTAGGCTTGTTGCTGAATTAATACAAAAATGAAATATGGTGGGGGAAATTTTAATGGGTTTGTCTTGTCCATTTTTAATTTCAGTTGATGGTTCTTTTGATATACGATATGACAATTTTGTAGATCACGAGGAGAAAGTCTATGTAGAAACCCTGGAGGTAAATAGCTTGAAAGACAAGAGTATGTAATAAAGATAAATCAAGTCTAACAGCAATTAAGTCATTAAGAGCACTCATAGGCTTTAAATCAACCTCTGTTACCTTAAGACAATACTGAGCACACAGATAAATAAGAAACCAGCTTGTGGTCACTATGTAATACCTAAATCTTGACTACTTTTTTAGTATTTGAAAATTTTCATAAAAATTTTAATTAAGCTAGAGAGCATAATTAAATTGATGATTATTTTACTTAATGTATACTTACATTATAACATTTCAAAGATAATTATGACTATATATACCATATAGAATATATTTACATATTAAAATATATAATCATTTTGCTTATTATCAATATTATAAACATTCTGTGCTAAGGTTGTTGTATAGCTTCACATTTTGGTAAAACTCTTTTAAGCAATAATTTCAAATAGTTACAATAAATATTTTTATTTTTACTTAATGGTTTAATTTATTTTGAGAAACATTTTTAAAGTATGGAAGTTTTTTTATTTTATTTTTAAGAAATCATATACATTTATATGGATGAGGGCTATACATTTAGTGACTTAGGTAAATAGCATCCTGCTATCTGATGGGAGTTACTAAAATTAGTAGCATAATACTTAGTGCAGTGTTTGTCCAAATATGATACTCACACCATTTGCAAAATAAATTCTTAGAGTCCTCCTTACCAGTGTAGCTCTCTAGGCCCCAGCCCACCCCTTCCAATCGGAATCTCTGGCAATATGGCCCAGGAAATCGACAGTTTTTATCATGTGTTCCCCAGATGATTTTTACACACACTAATACTTGAGAACCATGGATCAAGCAAATAAATTCCTGATAAATGTACCCTAAACATCCAAAATATCCCCTAAATATCAAATATCATAGAGGAATAAAGCCAAGAACCTCCGAAGAACATACCGCGCAGTCAGGAGGTAGGGTGATCAGTGATGAAAAGTATCTTTGCCAATATTTAGTTAATATGTAAAATGGTGTAAATTAACAATAAAAACAAAAACATTTTTATTTTGTATAAGTAAATTACAAACTACATACACAATCAGAATGGATTTTAAAATATATTTAGTTCGTGAGGGAACAGGCATAGTTTTATAGTCGTTCAATCAGTCTTGGCATGTGATACAGTGAATAGTTTAAGTTGGAAATTTCTGTTTTAACAATAGCCCTATACAGGGGGTGAAAAAAAATATATTGATTACTTCTTTTTATGTTAGGTTAAATGAGTAATGGCATATTGAAGAACTAGAATTTCATCGAAGGTCATTTAAAGCAAAGCACTTTTTACTGATGCTCATACTTTTCAGTGTTTCAAAATGAAATTGCTCTTCATTTTCATGCCAAAACATCTTTACAAAAGTTGTTACAGATTATTTTCAATACCTTTTGCTCAGCCATTTGGCATCATCACTATTCAGGCAACAATGCTCATATGGTAATAGTTAAATTTGTTTTTCACTAGGGCCCTCTCATCCAAATTTTTTATTTTCAGCCTGCACATGCTAAACTATAGAAAGTGTTTTAATTATTTTATTTGAATGTGTGTATTTATTATTCAATCAAACATGTTGCCAATTATTTTTTCTACTTGAAAAGTGGGACTTATTTTAAAAATTCTTTTGATCTTATTTTTCAGGCTACAGTTAGTTAGTCAGACTTGGGTTTGAACTCCAGCTCTGCCTCTTCTTAGCTGCAATACATTAGGAGAGGATTAATCTTTATGAAACCTACTTTCCTCATCTCTAAGATGAAATAACACTTTGCAGTGTTGTTCAGATCTAGGGGGTTGATTGAGATAAAGCATGGTGCAGAGTACTTAGCATATACTAATCTGTTATTTAAACCACCTAAAAAATTATAAAAAAATCTGTGGGAGCAAACACTATATTTCGTTTTTACTTACATTTTAAAGGTGAGAAATTTGAGAAAGGGTTGGCTGGGTCACTGACCCTGAAGGTCTCTGATATGATTGCACTCAGATGCTGGCTGGGACTGCGGTCATCTGAACGTCTGAATGGGTTGGATGTCAAAGATGGTTCATTCAGATGCTGACTCATGGACTGAGTTGTAAGCTGCTATCTTAGCTGTTCACTAGAGTGTCTACTTGTGTCTTCTCCAGCTTAGTGGTCTCGGGATAACCCTACTACCTGTTTTCTTACTTCTCCTAGAGTGAGCTTCTCATAGGAAACAGGAGGAAGCCTCATGGTCTTTTTTCATCTGACCTTAAAGCTACATAGCTCACATCTACTACATTCTGTTAATTATAAAAAAGTCACTAAAGCCAGTCCAGACTCAAAGGGAGGAAACTTTAGACTCCAAATCTTGATGGGAAGAAATTCAAACAATTTCTTTTAAAACCACCACATAATCCTACAGATTGGTGGTATGCATAATCCATGTAATTTAATTTTCTCTCAAGTGTTTATATATAATGCCAGGATGATATAGTATATTGGACTTGTTATATATTGATATGACCTGTATACACCTTACTTGTTTTATGTTACATGTAATTTATGTATAAATTATTTTATCTTCATCAATTGATAGATCAAGAAATGTAAATATTAGAATTCACATTAGCAGTCAAGTATTAAAATAAATTATTAAACATTCATTAAATGATTAGTATATAGCCTAAGGGATTAATTAATTAATTAAATTTTTATTTTATTTATTTATTTTTATCCTCACCCGAGGACATTTTTCCATTTTTTGTACAGACAGGGAGAGGGAGGAAGAGAGAGAGAGAGAGACATCGACGTGAAAGGGACACATCGAGTGACTGCCACCCGCACAATCAACAAGGGCCAGGGACAAACTGCAACCGAGGTACACGCCCTTAGCGGAAACTGAACCCGGGTCTCTCCGGACCGCAGGCCAAAGCTCTAACTGCTGAGCCAAACCAGCCAAGGCAAAGGATTAATTTTTTTAAACATAGATATTTAATTACAAGCAAAGGCACTAACTAGAAGATTTAAGATTTGTAGCAATCTAAGGGTTCTATGAACTTGCATTCTGAAAATAAAACATAATAAACTTCATTTATGACTCTACTCAGATATTGGTTGCCTAAAGAGAGAACTCAAAGTACTTTGTAAGCTTTCCTATCATGTATTATGTTATGTTCTTCTTGCTCAGTCACTTCATTGTTATTTCCAGGAAATGTTTCTGTTTAAAAGAATGAGTTTATATGTTAACTTTCAACTTTGATTTGTGCCTTAGTGTTCTGACACCCTAATTCTCCATGAAATTGCTACAGTCATCAACAAATCACAGGGACTGAAAGCAGAGATCAAGGTCTTCACCAATGTGATAAATTTCTAGACAGAAATTTAGCTCTCTTTCTTCCAATATGTAAAAAATATGGGGATTTAGACCTGGAGTGTTACCTGGAATACCAGATGAGTATGGGTCCAGTACTGCCCGTCATAGTCAACCAAGCCATGAAGTGCAGTAGGCACATAGCAATCCTGTGTATGAATGGGGACAAGGTTTCATTCAGGCTCAGATGTGCAGATTTATAAAGAACAAGCAAAGTACATGACAGACTTCCATGGAAACCATCTCTGTTGTACCAATGCCTTTCCTTTTCTTCAAGTCATACCTTCCAGAGGT